CCCACCACAATGCCAGGCTATTTATTGGTTGCAGCTGTCATTGCTTGGTGGGCCCTGGCTGGATTTGAACCCGCCACCTTAGGTGTATGTGGCTGGCACCTTAGGCACTTGAGCCACAGGCGCAGAGCCACACTAGCCAGGGTGCTCGTCTTATGTGCCTTTGCCCAGCCTAGGACTGCCGTGGCCTTTGCCTCTCACAGGATCTGGCCTTGGTTGTGGTACCACCACCCTGGGCCTGGGTAGTTCACACAGCGTGAGTTTACTTCTCACAGGTCTGGAGCCTGCAATGCCAAGGTCAAGGCAGACATGGTACCCGGTGAGGGCTATGCTCCACTCTGTGGCTGGTGTCTACAGTGGAGGGAGCAAATGAGCTCCCTGCCCTAATCTGGCCATTGACCCCCACCTCTCAACCACCACCCCACTAGAGACCAGGTGTCAACACAGGAAATGGGACACAACCTCAGACCCCCTACTGGGTGACAGAACTGGGCGAGGAATTTGCTTGGTGTGGGACAGCACCCCTCCGGGGGTGGTGTAAGGAGTTAGCACCCTCTGCTAAGGAAATGGGGGTCCACCCCCTCAGAGTCCACATGACATAGCCACATGTGGAACATGGGCACCTCCAGGCAGCGTCATCTTCCAGCCAGTGCCCAGGAAGTTATCAAACACAGGTGAAGGCTCCAGCAAGGTGGGCATAAACACACCAGGGAGACATCCTGGTGCCCAGGGGCGTTCCACCTGCCACCCCCTCTGAGTCCTGGGTCTCTCGACTCAGCCTTTGCCCTATGGCTCCCTGACCCCAGTGACCCATGTTCCAGGCAACAAGTTAGTGGCTACCCAATTCCACTTTTCTCCCACCCTCAAAAGCCCTTATAGGGATCACTCCTTACTTCAGCCAATTCTGCACCCCCAGCTTCTGGAAACCACTACTCTGCTCTCCATGAACTTAACCTGGAAATTCCCTGGGACTGGAATCCAACCACATGTGGCATTTTCTGGTTTCTTTCACCTGCTATATTTCCAGGGTCTGTTCGTGTTGTACCACGTGTCAGCACTTCATTCCTTTTCGTGCCCAAATAATGTTCACTGTACGGACTGACCTGACCACATTTTTGCACAGCCATTCATCAGCTGATAGACATTTGGGTTACATCCATTTCTCAGCTATTATAAATACTGCCATGAACATTTCAGCTTTTTATGTGGTCTTTTATTCTCCATCTGCGAGTGGAGTGCCTAGATCATGATGTTTTCCAAAGAGGCTGTGCCAATTCCACCAACAATGTGAGGGTCCCAACTTCTCCACGTCCTCCCACACTAGATCAGGTTGTGAAAGTGCTTATCTGAACTATGCCGTCTCCAGGCCGTGAACCTGGGATGTCTATGAATCTAAGTTTTTAATTTGACAATTTCTTTTGGAGTCTTCAGTGTGCAAATATTGCACTTCTTTTGTTAAATTATTCCTAAGTATCCTATTCTGAGGCTGCAGGTGGAATTGTCATTTCATTTTCAGTGTTCATTGCTAATGTAAGAAACATAAACCTTTCTGTAGCGACCAAGCATCCTGTTACCTTGCTGAATTCATTTACTGATGCCAAGAGGTGGTTTTCTTTTTTTTTTTTTTTTGAGACAGGCTCACTATGTCACCCTCGGTAGAGTGCTATGATGTCACAGATCACAGCAACCTCCAACTCTTGGGCTTAAGCGATTCTCTTGCCTCAGCCTCCCAAGTAGCTGGGATTACAGGTGCCCTCCACAACGCCCAGCTATTTTTTGGTGGTTGTTGCAGTTGTCATTGTTGTTTAGCTGGCCCGGGCTGGGTTTGAACCCACCACCCTCGGTGCACGCGGCTGGCACCGTAACCACTGTGCTACGGGTGCCGAGCCAGGTTGTTTTCCTAGCGTGTGAATGCCTCAGGTTTCTATAGGGAAGGTCACGTCATCTGTGACTTGCACAGTTGTGCTTCTTCCCTCAGTTCTGGATACCTTTTATTTTCTTTCTTGCATAATTATCCTGCCTTGTAATTTCCAGAACAATGTTGAACAGAAGTGATAAGAACAGACATTCCTGCTGTCTTGCTACTGATTTTAGGGGGAAGCTTCCAGTACTTCACAGATAAGTTTATTTTTACTTACTCTTTTTTTTTTTGAGACAGTCTCACTTTGTCACCCTTGGTAGAGTGCCATGGCATTATAGCTCACAGGAACCTCAAACTCTTAGGCTCAAGAAATTCTCTTGCCTCAGTCTCCCAAGTAGCTGGGATGCCCAGCTATTTTTTTTTTTTTTAAGAGACAGTGTCTTAAAAAAAACAGTGTCCAGCCTCTTGCTCAGGCTAGTCTTGAACCCTTGAGCTCAGGCAATCCACCAGCCTCTGCCTCCCTGAGTGCTAGGATTACAGGCGTAAGCCACCACACCCAGCCTTCACGGAGAAGTTTAACGTCAGCTGTGGGTTACACAAACGCTGCTCATCTGGTCTGAGGAAGTCCTCCTCCCAATCCTGTAATAGTTTGATGAACACTTTTTATCTTGTGTTGGATTTTGTCAAATGTTTTTTGGCCTGTCAAGATGATCATGTTTTTCACCCTTTATCCTGTGGGTGTTGAACCAGCTTTGTCCTCCTATGATGAACCCCACTTGTTTGCTAGTTTGCTGAGCACTCTCCCATCTACTTTTGTAAGAGGGACGTAGTTTTCCTTTTTTGTGATGTCCTTGCCTTGGCTGGTACCAGGAATGCTGGCATCACAGAGGGGTTGGAAAGTGCTCCCTCATATTTTTTGATTTTCTAAGGATCGATAATTCAAGCTTTAGTGGAATTCACATGCCTAGGCTTTTCTTTGTAGAAAAAAAAATTTTTTAAGAGACAGAGTCTCACTTTATCGCCCTTGGTAGAGTGCTGTGGCATCACACAGCTCACAACAACCTCCAACTCCTGGGCTTAGGCGATTCTCCTGCCTCAGCCTCCTGAGTAGCTGGGACTATAGGCGCCTGCCACAACACCCAGCTATTTTGTTGTTGTTGTTGTTGGAGTTTGGCTGGGGCTGGGTTTGAACCCACCACCCTCAGTATACAGGGCCGGCACCCTACCAGCTGAGCCACAGGCACCACCCCTGGCAAGTTTTTTTATTACTACTGTCAATCTTTTTATGTGTAGGTCTATTCTGATTTCATATTTCTGATTGAGTCAGTCCTGGCAGTTTGTCTTTCTAGGAATTTGTCCAGTTTATCAAGATTGTTGGCATATAGTTCATAATACTCTTTTAACTTTCTGCATCCTGTAAGGTCAACTGTAATATCACCTTTCATTTCTGAATTATTTGAACCTTCATTTCTTGGTCAGTCTCTGACTAAAGACTCATCAATTTTGTTCTTTACAAAGAACCAACTTTGGGTTTTGCTAACTGTCTATTATTTTTCTAGTCTTTCTTTCATTTCTACTCCCACTTTTGTTATTTCCTTACGTTTGCTTGCTTTGGGCTTAGCTTGCTCTTTTTCTATCACTGATGGCAACACAGTCCCAGGAGCTGTGACCACTGATGGGCCATCTGCCTGCCTTCTGCCAGTCAGTCCCTCCCATCAGTTCTAGTCTGTCCCCTTTTCAGGCCTCTTTAGACCAAGTATTGTTTCAGATTCTATCTTGTC